ACAACAAACCCACTGCTGCAAACTTCACCCACCCACCCCCACCCTATCAGTAATGTACCTTGCCATCTCATGAGTTATTTTCCCATCATATCCCTGCTGTCCCCAGCCTCTAATCTCCTCCTTACCTACTCTCCCCATTTTCATTTTCCACACCTTCCTATCCATTGTTATTTCCTCCAGGGTCCCAGAGCCTGGCTGGGCCCCAGTCAACACCGTACAGCTTCAGGCCTACCCAGAAATACAGTTGTGCTGTTTGTGCCACAGCAAGAGGCATGGGTAGTGGAGCGGATGGGTCGATTCCACCGTATTTTGGAACCGGTGAGATTTCCCTTTTCCCTTCCCCTTTACCCCTGGAGAATAGCTGAGGGAAGCACTGATCATGAAAGAATGAATAAAGCATTTATTTAGCACTTACTATATGCAAAGCACTATACTAAAAAATGGGGATACAAATAGAAAAGTATGACAGTCTCTTTTTTTAAGGAGCTCACCTTCTAATGGAAGAGACAACACATATGGATTATCTAGAAGCATCTGAGGACTGAATGCTCTAGGGTAGGGACTGTTCCTTCAGGGTCTTAATTCCTACCAGATCCCCTGACTCCTCCTCCCATCCTTTACCAGGGCTTGAACATCCTAATCCCTGTGCTGGATCGAATCCGATACGTACAGAGCCTTAAGGAGATTGTCATCAATGTACCTGAACAGTCAGCTGTAACCCTTGGTGAGGAGGGCACCCTTCCTTGGGCAAGAGGCACAAGGAGCATGCTAAGGCTCAAAAGAAAGCAACCACAGTCATCCTATATGTATGCGTGTTTAACTGAGTGAAGGGACATATGAGTGGGCAACTCTTAGTGAACATGTGAATATATATGACTGAACATGGGAGAACTGAGGAGCAGCTGAGAAGTCACAATAGGGGAGATGAAGGAGGGAAGAAAGAAGAAATGAAGGGGGGAAGGGTACAGCAGGGAGGGAAGGAGGTGCTTTAGGGAGAACATGGAGCTGAGGGACTAAAGACCCTAACCTCCTCCCCTCTCCCCCTAGACAATGTGACACTACAGATTGATGGAGTCCTTTACTTGCGCATCATGGACCCTTACAAGGTACCTTCCTACTTCCAAATTTGTGGGTAATTTTTGTGACTCCTCATCTCAGGATGTCATGTTCCCTATCACAAACCTTTCCCTAGGCGAGCTATGGTGTAGAAGATCCAGAGTATGCAGTCACCCAGCTGGCCCAGACAACCATGAGAAGTGAGCTTGGAAAGCTCTCATTGGATAAAGTTTTCCGAGTGAGTGGAGTCAGGTCACAGCTTTTGGTCACTGGGGGTAAGAGTGTAAAGGTGCCTTTATACACACCTTGCTCTATTTAGTCTTCCCCTGGTGGCTTGATAATGTGAGGGGGAGTCAAGGGAGGGTGTCAGGTTGTCTGCCTAGCCCTGCTGTCTAGGACAGGGCTCCCAGTGGGATAAGATGTTACCTATAGTCTTTCCCCCATACCAGGAACGAGAATCCCTGAATGCCAGCATTGTGGATGCTATTAATCAGGCCTCTGATTATTGGGGTATCCGCTGCCTCCGCTATGAGATCAAGGACATCCATGTACCTCCTCGAGTCAAGGAGTCCATGCAGATGCAGGTTGGGGGACTGAGGGCTTGGTTCCTGGAAAGTTGGGGCAGTCCAGAGCTGGAAACCGTAGGAACTGGGAGGGCTCTTTGGTTACAGAGGCCGGGACCATCCTGTTCAAATGCCCAGTGAGAAGGGCAGTGGATTTGCTGTTTCTTAGCCCCTGGTCCCTACTCTTTCATCCTCTGGGGAGGTACTGTTGGCCAGGATTATGGTTATCCACATCTGAGTTCTTCAGCCCTGTCTTTACTCCCAAGATGACCTTCGGATGAAAAAGTATGACTATGTCTCTGTTTAAGCACTGTCCCTGATAGCCTAGGAACTAGGTCTGTCCCCTAGGTGACCTTGGGGTGGGGTGACCCTGCTTCCAGGTAGAGGCAGAGCGTCGGAAACGTGCGACAGTGCTTGAGTCAGAGGGAACTCGGGAATCTGCCATCAATGTGGCTGAAGGAAAGAAGCAGGCACAGATCTTGGCCTCTGAGGCAGAGAAGGCTGAGCAGATCAACCAGGCAGCCGGTCAGTGATGGTGGGCATAAAGGAGGGGGTCTGATCTGGGCAAACTTCTGTCCTTACAGTGACTGGCCAGGAACAAGTTTTCTCTGTGCCCTGTCACTGAGAGCTTTTCCCATTCCCAGGAGAGGCCAGTGCAGTGCTGGCCAAAGCAAAGGCCAAGGCTGAGGCTATACGGATCCTGGCATCAGCTCTGACACAACAAGTGAGTGAATTAATGGGAGATGAGGTAGGAGATTCCTTGCCTGACTCCTTCTTTAGCACATCCACAGATGCTCCCCTGTCTACTTTTTGGGGGTTCTCTTGACCCTGTGTCCCCTGTAACCTGAACTTGTCATCCCTGGCCTCATATCTCGTATCACCTATTACCTCCCACTTCCTATGACTTAACCTTAAAATGCATCCCCAAGCCTATGTCCTCTGACTCTATGCCCTTTTGATCCCCTGATTTCCTGTTTCCCATGGCTCCTGATCTCACCTATCCCATATTCCCTGATTTCATTTCCCATGACCCTTTATGTTATTTATACTTCTTGCGATTCCTGACCTCATGCCCCTGGTGACTACAGAATGGAGATGCAGCAGCTTCCCTAACAGTGGCCGAGCAGTATGTCAGCGCTTTCTCCAAATTGGCAAAGGATACCAACACCATCCTGCTACCCTCTAATCCCGGAGATGTCACTAGCATGGTGGCTCAGGTTAGAGTCTCCCCCAGCATGCCCATTTTAGCCGAATTCTACCAGAAACTGAAGTAGTTTCTCAGGTCACTCCAGGGAGATGCCCTCTAGATGCTGTTTCTAGCATCTCTCACACCTTCCCTAAAGGCCTTCCTTACTTTTAAGGTTCACATCCCCAGTCAAAAAGAATTAAATCTTCCTGGAGAGAAAGCCAGTGACCTTGTCCTTCCCATTTTCAAGCTGGATAGCCTCCTTCTCAATGAAATGCCCATTCCCCACCTCAGATATATGAATGACCCTTCACCATAGTCCCCACTTCTTCCCTTCAGCTCTAAGGTTTTTACTGTCTGTCCTCTGCCTACAATACTCACTTGCATCTTCTCTCCCTGGTCTCTCACATCTTTATGTCTCCTTCATTTCTGCTTCTTATTCCTCCATTTTTATGCTTCTGTCCCCTGCCCTATTTTTTGACCCAGTTACACCTACTCCAATCTCATAACTTTGTTTGTCTCCAATCCCAGGCTATGGGTGTGTATGGAGCCCTTACCAAAACCTCCACAAGTGAGACACCAAACTCAGCCTCTGATGGAAACATCAGGGTTGCCCAGTGTGCGAACACTGGTCTGGATGAAGAGCTGGAGCGTGTAAAACTGAGTTAGCAGAACCTGGCTTGGCCTGTGGAACCTGGAAGTCCTGGGGGAGGCTTCTGATCCAGGACCCACCCTTACCCCCCTGCCCTTGACACTTCTGGACCCCTCAGCCAAGATTTTGGTTATTTTTTTATTTGAACTTTAATCATGTAATAAACACATCTAGTGGGACAGCAGCAAGAAGCATCCTCATTGTCTTGGAGTTTGGGGAAATTCAGGAAACTGGTTTTATAGTTTGTGGGGCCATGGGTTACCCTTCTCCTGCATACTCCATATCCATGTTGGGCCTGGGAGCATTTTTCTTCAGAAGTTGATACTGTTGTGGCAAGTAGGCAGGTGTGAAGTTTTAAAAGGAACACTGGAAGTTCTCAACACTACCTCTGCATTCTGCTCAGTCTTCTTCCCATACAGAACTGTCTCTATGGGGGAGGACTAGACTTCATTTCCCAGCATGCTGAGTAGCCTCACTCAGGATGCATGCTGGGGATTGTAGTCTGCATCATACTGCTGAGAAGACTTGGGACAGAAAATGGGGATTCCTGTTGTTCCTTGAAACTCATGCTTTCTTATTTACCCATTGTAGGATTGGGTGTTGCAGGGAATAGAGAAGAATCTCTGTTTCGTGCTGCCCTGGGGGATCAGAGGTCAAATTTGTGAGATATAAACTGCCTCTTGAGGGTGGGATTGTGGTGGCTATGTCTCTATTAGGAACTCAGCTTTTTCTCCCTGTCTCTAAAGATTTAAGACCAACCCCACCTTATCTAGCCATCTGTATCAATTTACCCCCCCCATATGTCCATCCCAGGAGCCTAGTCCAGATCCACAAGTAGCCTGACTTTGTTCCACCCTGATATCTGCAATAGCCTCTGGGTTCCTTCCCCTTTGTTTTTAAGGTGTGACCTAACTAGGGCTGGATGCAAGGCAAAGGACATATAAACACTGGTGGAATGGAAAAGAAGAGGACAGGACCGAACAGAGCCCCCTCCCCAAATGCCACAACTCTTCATGTTTGATCCCATTCCTTCTGCCCCCATTTAGAGAGGGGTTTGGCCAGAGTATAGCCATTTGGGGTGTCACAGGCATGACAAGTGCTGCCTATGGAGAAATGTCCAGTATGAAGGGACCCTCTCAACTTTTGAGAACTTCCTCACCTCACTGCTCAACTTAAAATAGTGATTTGGAGGTGAAGAATGGGTTGCAGCTCACAGCTCATTCAAGAAACATTTACTAAGTGCTTACGATTGCCAGGTATTGTGCTAACTGCTGGGGATGCAAAGACAAAAAAGATCCCTCCACTGCTCAGGACTTCTGGGAGGCCCCCCGTCTTTCCCTGTGACTCCCTGCCCCTGGTGCCTCTCCATCACTCCTCTTCCTTGTCTCCAGGGCGGGGCGCTCCAGGCACTGTGCTCCTCTCTCTGTCGGCCCTCTTCTCTATGATATGGGGGGGGAAAGAGAGGATTGGCGAACCTGAGCTTCACTTCCGGTTCTTGGCGCTCTGCTTCCGGCTGCCTGCTGTGCTGCTCATAGGTGACTGAGGGTGCCCAGAGATCTCGCCGGGGACCCCGTGGTACTCCCAGCCGGGTGGGAGGGACGACCCTTAGTAGTCCTAGCTTCCCGTCGCCCTTCCCCGGGGCGGGGAGGGCAGCTGGGGTCCATGTGTTTGCACATCCGTCCGTCCTCCTTTGCCGCGTACTTTTCCGTCACCCTCCTGCCGCAGGTGTGCTCGAAGGTCCTCGGCCTTCCCTTCTCGCGCGTCCCACCTCCCCGCCACGCCTCTCCGCGCCCCCCTGCCCGTGCGTCCTTCCAACCCCTCCCCGCTCTGGGCCCCCCGGCTCTCCCCTTTTCGTGCCTCTGCACCCCCAGCCCTGTCCCTTCTGTCTCTCACACCCCTCAGTGTCCTCACCTTTCCCCTTCCGTGTCCTCATGCCCCTGCACCCTACCCCGCTCTGTCTCTTACATAAGGCACTCCACTCACCACTACCCCTTCAGTGACCTCAGCCTCCCTACTTCCTGTGTCCCCAGCATCTCTCCCCACGACCCCAAGCCCCCCAATGCTGTTTCTGCCTCTTACTCTCTCCACTCCCTTAGTTCCCAACATCCCTCCCCAGTACCCCCCTTTCTCCCAAGTATTCCATCTCTCTCCAGCTATTGGTGTGTTTTAGGTTCTCCTTCACCAGCCTTTACTTTGGGCACTATTTCATTCCCTTCCCCTCCCCTTCTTTGCCCTAATGGTTCCTTTCTTTGTGGCTAATCTCTCCAAATGAGGGAGTGGCCTGTGCTTACGATACTGGTGAGGGTGACTTTGACACCCGAGAGGCTGTTCTCTAGGAGGGAAGGGAGGGCGGTGCTGTGAAGGAAGCATTAAAAGCCAAGGGCGCCATGCTGCGCACTGCCCCAACCTGTTTGTGGGGCAGGGAGTGGTAAGAGAGGAGAGAGTTTTAAGAGAAAGGAGAAAATGAGAGGAGAAAGAACTCATGGGGACATCTTGGGTTAGAGGGGTCTCACTTTTTTGTGTGTCCCACGTCCCAGAGAAGAGGTGGTTGTTGGAGTGATATTCCATTCCCACACTTGCTGTTCAGCCTGTGTTAAAAGAGCCGTACCTTCTCACTAGGGAGTATCCCATTTTTTTTCATACTTCTTATGTAGTAGATGATAATCCTAGATCCCATAATTGGGGATAACAGCAGACAAGGGTCTTTTATGGTCAGAACACGCATTTCTCTCTTTCTAGCCAGTATTTCATTTAAGACTCAGACACATGCCAACTTGTATCATCCAACCCTCATTGCCAACTTATGTCTAATAATAATAATATTATAGCTAGCATTTACATAGCACTTTAAGGTTTGCAAAGGACTCTACATGTATTTTGCTTTTATCCTCACAACCACCTCAGGAGGTAGGTGCTATCCTTGTCTAATCTCCAGCTTTCTTGGTGTAGGTCCAATTGTTATAGTAGATGATTTCTAACCAAAGAATAATAAGGAGGACCTCACAATGAGGAATTCCTCAGGTCTGATGGGAAGTATTAGATCATAGATCTAGATCGAGAAGAGACCATGGAGGCCATCTAATCAATTTTACAGAAATAAAAACTGAGGTACAGAATGAGACAGCCCGTGCCATTGTTGAAGCAGGATAGAATTATCTGTACACAAAAATTATAATAATACATTGAACTTGGAATGGAAGGTGACATTGTATTGTTGAGTTAGTGAATGGGCTCAAGGAAGGCTTGTTAGGTAGTGGCTTTCAACTGGGATTTAATTGAAGAAGGGAGAACCTGATTTCTGTACCTTAAGTGTCCTTGACTGGTCGGCCTTGGAAAATTTACATGAGAGTGACAGAGAGGTGGAAGAAGGGGGAACAGGTGGGGGAAGAAAGAGATAGGGAGGGAGAGGCTGAAGGAGTGAGAGATTGCACAAGAGTTTGAGTGAGCAATGAGAACCTAAGTAATGTGTGTCTGTCTTCCTGACTTCCAGAATGCTGAAGGCTCTGGTACTTCTTTTCCTGGCCTGGGTCTGCTTCCTCTTTTATGCTGGCATTGCCGTCTTCACCAGTGGCTTTCTGCTCACCCGACTGGAGCTTACCAATCATAGCATCTGTCAGGAGCTGCCTGGAAAAGGACCTCTGGTGGGAGGTGGCCGTGGTGAGCCAGGGGCCTGTTGGACAGCTCCTCGATTTTCCCGAGCTGTGGTAGTGCTGATAGATGCACTACGATTTGATTTTGTGCAGCCTTGGCCAGATGGCCTTCCTGCCCCACAACCTTTCCTAGGAAGGCTGGGTTCCATACAGCGCCTTCTGGAAGCCCAGCCACAACATGCTCGCCTCTACCGGTTCCTGGCCGACCCACCCACCACCACCATGCAACGACTCAAGGCTCTCACCACAGGCTCTTTACCTACCTTCATTGATGCTGGAAGCAACTTTGCTAGCTATGCCATCCAAGAAGATAACCTCATTGCTCAGCTCAACAACACTGGTCAGTCTAATAAGGTTATGGAATGTTAGGTAACCTCCTGTGGTTATGTTTCTTTTAGTCACTAGTGTCTAAACTATACTAAACAATATATTTCTTTTAACTTAGCCTCCTTGCCTGAGGTTCATGAACTTTTCAAAAAATATATATATTTGTTAACTGTATTAAATATAATTGATTTTCTTCATAATCCTATGTATTTTATTTTATGCACTTAAAACATTAGTCTAAGAAAGGCTTCATGGGCTTTATCAGACTAAGGAAAAGGTGCATAACATGCAAAAACACAGAAGAACCTCTGATCTGGAACCCTCTCATTTTATGGATGAACTCGGCCTAGTCAGGTGAAGTGATTTGCTTAAGATCACACAGTTAATTTGTAGAAGAGCTGTGACTAGAACCCGTGTGTTCTTACTTCCAGTCTCATGCTTCTTTCAGTATGCTGCATAGATTCTCTCATACCTTCCTTCCCCTCCTTATGTGTTCCCTTCCCTTTACCATCACAGAATCTCCATTTCTTCTTTGTCTAGAACTTCTTTCCTTCTGTTTTATCTGCCTCACTACACCTTATCAGGTAATTTGAGTCCCTGATGTGTACCTAGCCCTGTGCTAAGCTTTGTTCAAGCGATTGCTGCAATAAGGGTATGGTCCCTGCTTCCAAGGAATTTACATCATAGTTGAGGGAAATGATTTACTTTTATGAAACAATTAGAGAACAATAAAAGAAATATAAGCTCTTTGGTAGACAGGACTGTTTTTGGTTGTAAACTGATATAACTTAGTACTTATGTGGCAGTATTTTAAAATTATGTTATATCAGACTAGAATTACTATAAATATTTGGAATGAGAGATTACAGTGGATTGGGATAGCTAGTAAGGCTTCATGTAGGAGGTACAATTTGAATTACATTTTTAGTGATGCTTAAGATTTGGATAAGCAAAAAAAAAAAATTTGGATAAGCAATGAGGCGGGGGTGGTATTACAGATAGCGTGAATGGTGTAAGCAAAGGCAGGGGTATAAGAAGGACAGTGAGCCTTGTGATAAGACTAACATGGCTAGAGCAAAGGATTTGTATTGGTGGGAGAAGGGAAAAAGAGGGTACTGTAGAATGAGGCCACACTATAAAACAATCTTCCAGTGGTCCCTTCCATTGTTCAATGCCTGACATCTTCCTAACTCTCCCAATGCTTCAGGGAAACGAGTGGTTTTCATGGGGGATGACACTTGGAAGGACTTGTTCCCAGGAGCTTTCTCTGAAGCCTTCTTCTTCCCATCCTTCAATGTCAAAGATCTACACACTGTGGACAATGGCATTCTGGAGCACCTCTACCCTACCAGTGAGCAGTCCCAACTGGGATCCAGGCTTAGACGCTGTTGGAAGGGAGGGATGGGGATAGACCAGTCTTATATTTGGGTATTATTCTGAGAAGCTAGTGCCAATACTCAATTTGTGAAATAGATCCAACATACATTGGATCTGATTTTTGGATCTGATTTTGAGTTACAATATGTAGAGGGGCAAGGAAGTGATGCTTTGAGGGTACTTTGGATGGTACTGCCCTGGGTGATAAGGATTGGAATCAGTGTCCATTGGTAGAGGAATATTAAAGGCTGGGAAATTGAGGAAGGGTATCAGGCCCTTTTTCTCAGTGTTGGTCTCTACAGTGGACAGAGATGACTGGGACCTGCTGATTGCTCACTTCCTGGGTGTAGATCATTGTGGCCACAAACATGGTCCCCACCATCCTGAGATGGCCAAGAAGCTCAACCAGATGGACCAGATGCTTCAGTAAGTTGTACTAGAGAAGTTTGATTGTGGGCAGGAAGCATGGCCCAATTGATTATGGGGCAGAGATAGTAGGCTATAAAATGTGTGTGTTAGTGTGGTAGGAGGTAGTTTGGAGTAGAGCATGATCTGGTCAGAGAGACTGCCTTTCCTCTCCCTGGGGGAGAAGTGGTGTGGGAGTAGGGTTGCGGGGAGGGAGAAGATCTCTGTGTATCTGTTGGGTCTCTGTTGAAGTTCTCGTGGTACCAAACATTCATTGCTCAGACTTTGGCAAATACTCTGCTGTCCCCACTAATTATTGCCACTGGTCTCCACTTTCTGAAGCTCAAGAGTTCATGTTTATTTGGGTCTCCTCTACCCACTGAGTAAGTTGGGTCCCACAGAAAACTAGCCTGAGGGTCATGGGACCTAATTACCTATGGGACTTTAGACAGAGCAGTTAACTTCTCTGGACCTCAGTTTCTTTATATGTGACATAGGAAAACAGTTTGCCCTGCTTGCCTCATAGAGTTATCATGTAAGGGTTAAACAAGGCAACAGTATTTTGCAAAACCACAAACCCCTGAGAATGATCTTTAGGGACTGTCAGGGGTTAAGGGATGATTGTACCCAGGCTAGGATCTTCCCAGTGGCCCCTTTCCTTTTCCCACTATTTGGTGCTTTGCAATCAGGACCCTTGTGGAGCGACTGGAGAATGATACACTGCTGGTGGTGGCTGGAGATCATGGCATGACAGAGACAGGAGACCATGGTGGAGATAGCAAGCCAGAAGTCACGGCTGCACTCTTTCTCTACAGCCCTTTGCCCCTTTTCCCCAGGGCGCCCCTGAAGGTAAGTGCAATAAACCATTAGTTCCCTTGCCTGGGTCTCTCCTATTTCCTTTTGGCCCCCTTGAATTCTTTTTCTCTTTCTGATCTCAGTGTCCATTAGATGACTGTTTCACCCTCTTCTCCACAATTAACAAGCCTCCTCCATATGACCTCCTTCTCCAGATATCATCTTGCTCTCCCCATGCTTCTACCAGCTTCCGATCACTTCCCCCTTCTCTCTAGATACTCTGTCCCCCATCACTCCTGCCCATCTCTGTCACCTTTAAATGCTCTTTCCCCCATTCTCCATCATTTTATTCTAAGCTAGGACTGTGAAGTGGCTCTTTCCACTGATTCATTCCTCCCTCTGGTTTTATTGCCTCCAGGACCCAGAAGTGGTTCCCCAGGTGAACCTGGTGCCAACGCTGGCCCTTCTGCTTGGCCTGCCCATACCTTTTGGAAACATAGGAGAGGTGATGGTGGACCTGTTTTCAAGAGAAGGAGATGCCCAGCCTCTTGCTACAGCTCTTGCCCAGGCCTCTGCCTACCATCTCAATGCCCAACAGGTAGAGGGGCTGGCGCTCCCTAGAGACAGGGGTTATGTTAGATTAGAGATCCAGGAGTTAGGAACCTGAACAAAAACCCACAGCGTGACCCTGTTATCCTTATCCTTCCTCTGACCCATCACCTCCTGACCTATTTCTGTCCCTACTTATCCCATATAAGGTATGGGTTCTAGCCCTGGGGCTCTCTGGACATCTGTTCATCTCTGTTTTATTCCCCCTTCACTCCCATCCCATGCCTTATAAACTCTCTTTTCCATTTTCTTCCATGTTCCCTTCTCCCAGGTCTCCCGCTTTCTTCGTGCTTACTCATTAGCTGCCCAGGACTTGCCTCCTGAGGAGCTCCAGCACCTTCAGAACCTTTTCTCCTCTGCATCCTCTGAATATGAACGACTGCTAGATCAGCTGAAGACTGAAGAGGTCAGAGAGGCCGACATACAGGGTCTGATCTCCCAGCTGAGATTGTTCTTGCGGGGGGCGCGGACAGCCTGCACAGAGACATGGGCTCGATTCCGCCCAGCCCGAATGATAGGGGGCACCATACTCCTGGCTTCCACCTGCCTTCTCTGCCTAGTGACCTCTGGGCTCACCAGCTCCCCTGACTTCCCATTCCACTGCCTGCTCCTAAGGTCTGTGGCCTGGGGTCTGGCAGGGTCTGCCTTGCTAGCTGGGGGACTGATGGCAGGTGGGAGTGGGCTAGAGCCAGCTCTGTTGTGCGCAGGGGGTGCAGCCACCTCCCTCATGGCCTTCTTGTGGAATTTAAAGTCAAGGGGGCGGCCACCAATGGCAATTATTCTCCCAGGCCCTTTGCCTATCTTGGTGCTCCTGTTTCTCCGCTCGGCTGCTCTCTTTTCTGACAGCTTTGTCCTGGCTGAGGCTAGGGCAGCCCCCTTCCTTTTGCGTTCAATGTCCCTGTTTCTAGTGGCTCAGTTGCACTGGGAGGGCCGGCTTCTGGGGGGGTGGCCCACAGCTCCTTGCCTCAGCTCCCCCACAGCATCTATGGCACGGCGGGAGGGTCCACAGGCCCTAGGGCTACTGGTTGGCCTGCTCCTGTGTGTACGCCTGTCTAGTTTCTTCCATCGCTGCCCAGAAGAGACACCTGTTTGCCAGTCATCACCCTGGTTAACTCCTCTAGCTGCAATGGGTGGTGGCCAGGCCAAGAACCTCTGGTATGGGGCATGTCTAGGAGCACTAGGGGTGCTGGTCCTATCTGTACGGTTTTGGCTGCGCCGCTGTGGGAATCTTAACAGCCCTGCACCTCCAGTCCTCTTTGTGCGCTGGGGATTGCCACTGATGGCACTTGGCACTGCTGCCCACTGGGCATTGGCCTCAGGCTCAGATGAGGCACCCCCCAGGCTACAAGCCCTGGTGTCTGGAGCTGTGGTAGGGTTGCCACGGGCTGTACTGGGTCTGGCAGCCCTAGGACTAGGGCTACTGCTTTGGCAGCCGGTCACAGTATTGGTCAAGACTGGGGCAAGTAGCTCCAACCCCATTGTTGTCCCTTTTGTGGGACCCCCAGCCTCCCAGGCTGACCTGGACTACGTGGTCCCTCAGATCTACCGTCGAATGCAGGAGGCACTGAGGGGAAAGCTGGCCGGGGGTGGGGGCCAGACACCAATGTCACTGGCTGCCTACGGGCTGGGGAGTGTGTACTCTGCCGCCATGGTGACCACCCTTGCCCTTCTGGCCTTCCCGCTGCTGCTGCTGCACACTGAGCGGATCAGCCTCGCCTTCCTGATCCTCTTCCTGCAGAGTTTCCTACTTTTGCAGCTACTCGCCACTGCTGTTGGGAACCCAGCTGGAAGTTCTGGTAGGTAGCAAGGCTGTCTTGTCTGCAGATTCCCCTAGAACATCCATCTCCTTGCCCTTGGAACAGCTACATGCCTAGGTGAATCAACCAGGTTTGAATAGAGGTTGTCCTCTCCCTTAGTAATAGCAGGCCTACTTCAGTGACCTTGACATTTAGTCGCACTCCATAATGGTGCTGCCATCACTCGATCTCAAGGGCTATCAGAATTTGGGAGAAGAGCACCGGCCCTGAAGTCAGGAGGACCTGAGTTCAAATCTGGCCTCAGACCAGACCAAACACTTGACACTTACTAGCTGTGTGACCCTGGGCAAGTCATTTAACCCCAATTGCCTTTAAAAAAAAAAAAAAAGAATTTGGGAGAAAAAAGGGATCAAGCACACACACACACACCCCCCCCACCCCCCATTCAACACCTCTGCCCACTCCCTGCCCCAACCAGGACTGCTTCCTTTGGAGAAGTTGTACCCCACTGATTCTCTAGGCAGGTAGGTGACCATTTGTCTGCAACTGTGACTGTGGGGTGGGGGGGAGTTGGATCAGGGTGACTAGGCATAGGAGGCAGATGCAAAGTGGGGGCAGGATCAGAGTATAGGAAATAATGTTCAAGTAGCAAGAGTACAGGGCAGTCGTGTGATGCTGTGGGATGGTAGTGACATTGTGGGGGGCAGGCTAACAGTATTAAGGATGAGTTATATGTCTCCTTCCAGGTCCCTTCTCAGTGCCATGGCTTGCCATCTCCGCTTGGGCTCTCACAGCTACTCAGACCTTCTACTCCACAGGCCATCAACCTGTCTTTCCAGCTATCCATTGGAATGCTGCCTTTGTGGGCTTCCCTGAGGGGCATGGTTCATCCCCTCTGCTGCCTGCTGTGCTTGTGGGGGCCAACACCTTTGCCTCCCACCTTCTTTTTTCAGGTATCTCATCCCCCAACCCCTATTCCTTCTCCTGGGACTGAGCCCAAGACTAGAGGGGAATGGTGGTAGTCCCACCTAAGTGGCACAAGGGTAGAGGGAAGAACCTTGTTGTTTCTTGTTTCTATCCATCTTTTGATCTCAGTTGCTCAATGGGTAAGACTCTGGCCAAGGAATGTTGAGACACAGGCCCCTTGGAAGCTCCTTTCTGAAGGGCTCCCCCCCCCCCACCTGATCTGGCTAAAGCACAGAATTGCCAGGGTGGGGCTGTCCTGTGGGGATCAAGGCTTGTTCTTGCAACCTAAGGTAACCCAGACCTGTGTTTCCCTCACCCCCGGAGGCAGTTGGCTGCCCGTTGCTCTTGCTCTGGCCCTTTGTGTGTGAGGGCCAAGGGTCTACGAAGAAGAAGCCCCTAGCGAGTGGGGCCGAGGTGGAGGGAGAGAAGGAGGAGGAACCCTTGATGGAGATGCGTCTCCGGGATGCCCCTCATCATTTCAATGCTGCTCTCCTACAACTGGGCCTCAAGTACCTCTTCATCCTAGGTATACAGGTAGGTATGATTAACTGGTATGGCTGGGGATTTTGAAAGAGGGAAACTAAAGAGTTAGTGATTCTTAACTTTAACATACCACTTTACAATTGGTTGGGGTTTTTTTTTATGCTCTATTGGTGCTTTTGGAAAAAAAAATATCACTGTCACTTCCTAGTGACTCCCCCCTCCCACTACAATTCTCTCTTAAAACAAGTAAGTACCATCAAACAAAACAAATCAACACATTGGTGTTGTCTGACAATGTATACCTCATTCTGGATCTATTGTCTGCCACCTCTCTGCAAAGAGGGAGAAGGCATGCTTCACTATCAGTCACTACAGTTTTCTAAGGTCCTTGAAATACCTTCTCTCATTTGGTCCTCACAATCCACCTATAAGAAAGGACCAAAATAATTTTCTCCAACTTACAGGTAAGGAAACTGAGGTGCCTGTCATTTCTCCAAGAGTACATATTGAGTCAGTGGTGGGACAGAGACTGGAATACAGGTCTTTTGGCTCTGAGTCTAATTCTTTCTCTACCACACCAGGATCCAGACCCAGCTAATGGTGTATTTCAGCTGAACCAGGAAACCCGAGCTTGTGATCCACACCCCCAAGGGGTGGGGCTACAGATTCTTTCCCAAAGTGAGGGGGCAGTAATTTGTTTAGCATTATCCCCAGGAGGCAGGGGCTCTGAGCACTAGGAATGAAGAATTGCAGAATTGTAACAGAACTTTCAAAATTACTATTTTTTCCATGAGTTGGTTAAGTGACTTGCCTGAGATCACACAGCAAGTTAGTAGACAAGTCAGGAGTAGAACCTGGGCCCACAGAGTATGAGCCACTGCTCCTTTTATGATATGCACTTCTGCTGTTTTCCTCATGCTCACATGAGAGTTTCACCTCTCATCTTTCTCTGCCTTTTTACACTTCCATCCCCCATCCTAGTTATCTTCACTCTTCTCTTCCCCATTCCCTCTTCCCCTCCAGGTCTTAGCCTGTGTTCTGGCAGCTTCCATACTTCGGAGGCATCTCATGGTCTGGAAGGTGTTTGCTCCCAAGTGAGTGGGTGTTCTCAATGAAGGAGGAATATAGGTTGGAGGGGGGGGGGTCCCAGAGTTAGATGAGAAGATGGTTGGAGGGGGCAGCTAGGTGATGCAGTGGATAGAGCACCGGCCCTGAAGTCAGGAGGACCTGAGTTCAAATCCGATCTCAGACCAAACACTTGACACTTACTAGATGTGTGACCTTGGGCAAGTCACTTAACCCCAATTGCCATAAATAAATAAAAAGAAGATGGGTGGAGGATTTGATTTGGGTATCAGTCTGCTCAGACACAAAATAAAATGGAAGTAGAGAGGTATCTTCTGGAAGAGGGGTGGTGGTGGCCTGGTGAATTGGGGGTATATATATCCTTCCAGAGTGTCAGAATAAGGAGGGAGAGGGAATGGGCAGAAAAGGCTAGCCTCCGTTTAACCTACCAGTTTTTACTAATGTTCTCTACCATGGTACACCATCCTAATGCCCCTGCTTCTCTGCTTGTAGGTTCATCTTTGAAGCTGTGGGTTTTGTGGTGAGCAGCCTAGCGCTCCTACTGGGTGTGGCCCTGGTGATGTGGGTAGACAGAGCTGTGGGGTCCTGGTTCAAGCAGCTCATTCTGTCCCAGGAGAGGTAGCTTTTGTCACCTGGACCTTGGGACCAATCTTTCTTCATACCCCCAGGGCAAGTAAACCCTGGGTTCACCTCTACATGGCTTGTCCTACAGTTCTAAGTTTGAGACAACATGCTGAGCAGGACCTCTGGCTAGGACTCAACCCACTTCTGTGGAGACCTGTACTGCCCTGGTTGTAGCTGGGTCACCAGCATCCTCTACTCCAGACAGAGTGTGTGTGTACCTCACTCTCAAGGGGTTTGTAGCAATGGGTCACACACTTGTGGAGCCAGATGGTAACAGTGACTTCACTGGGGTTTTCATATTCAGGATTGGAGAGAGGCAGAGAACTCAGGTCTGTGCTGAAATTGTCTCTCCTCTGGAAGGATTGGAGCAGGCCAAGCAGCTATGTAGAAGTTTTGGGCCTGACCCTGTTCTCTCCATTGATTTTCTCTTCTTAGCCTGACCAAGCCAAATGACTCTGCCTTTCCCTAAGTGAGATTGGGTTAATGTGAATCTGAGGCACTGGAGAAATCTGGGGTGGGGGCCTGGTGGGGGAAGTGAGCTGCTATGTATACCCAGAGTGAAATAAAACACTGGAGAATTGTGTATGTGTGAAAGAAAGAGAGATGCTGGAAGGAAGATACCTCTGTCCTGTGGGGTGGGACTTTGTTGGGGAGGAATACTGTCCGTACTCAGTTTCTGTCTTTTCCTAGTTAGCTTCCCCCATGCCATATTGCAGTATATTCCTGCCCCCCCCCCCCCAGGATCTGTACCCCTCACTCCCTTCAATTCAATGAATCTGCTTAGTACCCACACTCAGTGTGGGCACCATATGAGGTTATGCTGTGGATATCACAAAAGAAGACTCGGGCCCTACCATTAGGAAGTTCACATTTTGGAGGGGGAGAGGAGTAGAGGGTAGGGATGGAATGTGCTGGGTGGGAGAATAAGAGTCACACAGAATTAGAGAACAACATGAGACTGCTGTATGATTGAGTCTCTTTCACTCTCACTGTTACTACCCTAGTCTAAGCCCTCATTCCCTTCATCTCAATTTTTGCACTGGTTTAACTTGCCTCCCTGTCTTCAGGCTCTCCCTTCTCCATGACATCCTGCACCCTTTAATGGGTACTTACTACTTTTTATGACCTAGGGTAAATAACTTCCCACTGGTTCTGAATTTCCTTATCTTTAAAATGAGGGAATAGCTGATTGCTAAGGTCTCTTATCTCCAAATCTATGATCTTATGATAATCTTGTAAAAAGCTTTATGACACTTAACTACTTAAAATTTAGTCTTCGTTAACTCCCTGTTGCCTATTGTAAATTCCTCAAAGCACTCCACCATATGGATACAACTTGTCTCTGTCAGCTTTTTCTTCATTTCAGTCATTCAAATGTTTATGTGCCTACTGTGCAAAAATCTACAAAAGGAATCTGAAGATAAATAACCTCTAGTCCAACTCTCTCAATTTTATGGAGGTTGGGGGGGGGGGAACATGTATTAAGCACCTACTATGTGCCAAGCACTATGCTAGGAACTTTATAAATACTATCTCATTTGATCCTCACAACAGCTCTGGGAGGTAGGTGCTATTATTTCCATTTTACAGTTGAGGAAACTGAGGCAAACAGGGTCATACAGCTAGTAAGAGTTTTAAGCCAGCTTTAAACTCAGGTCTTCCTGACTCCAGCCCTAAAATTCTATTGCTGTGCCACTGAGCTGATGAAGACACTCAGACCCAGAGAGTTCATTTATTTAAATTGGCAATCATGCTGTCCTTGTGAGTAAGAGAAGTGTGGATTAGACTACCATACAGTTAGGTAAATTTAGAATTGACTTAATGACTGGACTCAAAAGAGTAGTTGATAATGGACTGGTGTCACCTTGGAGGAAGGCCTCTAGTGGAGCACTCTAGGGATCTGTCCTTGCCCTGCACTATTCAACATTTTTATAAATTACATGGGTGATGACATGCTTATTAAATAGACTAGAAATAGAGATAGGTGGCTAACATGTTAGATCACAGTCAAAATCCAAAAATCATCTTGATAGGCTGAAATGCTGAGCCACTTACAAGATGAAATTTAGTCTTACATCTCAAAATACTCAAAATTCCCTGCCAAAGCAGGGAATCTTAAATGTTTTTGTCATGGACTACTAGCTATCTAATGGAGCCTATGGTCCCCTTCTCAGAATGATGTTTTTAAATGCATAAAATAAAATACATAGTATTACAAAGAAACAACTTGTATTGAAATACAGTTATAAAAATGTTTCTAAAAGCAGATTGATGGACCCTAGCTTAAAAATTGCTAGCACAGAGACTTGGCCTTTCCTTTCTTCAGTCTTTTATTGGACCCTGTTACTGGAGCAGTACATGAACCCATAGTTAGCCTCACTAGATTGATGGTGTGGTACTTGGCAAGTGAGGAGAGAGGCAGCTACACCAGCCATACTAGAGCCTTATAGTGTGTGGATATTGAATGTTCTTGGCCCCAGTATCCTCAAGTGGGACCCTTGGGGATGGAGGTTACCTGCCTCTTCTATTGCTATCTTAGGGCCTTGTGACACTTAGGGATTCAGAGGACATGGTTATAGGAGGAAAAGTTGGTACTTTTCATGTGCTGAAGATGCTGGATTATATTGAAGTTAATTCAGTTTCACCTTCAAATGAGAACATTTGATGGTGTTCCCTTAAAGTCTAGGATACGTCAAATATGTCCTTTCCACCTCTGCCAGTTACAGCCTTCTTTGGGATTATGAGACAGATGATCGTTACTGAGTCAGAATTCCACCTAGGAAAAAGTAGCTTCATGGAGTCTGATTTTGGGAGAAGTTGAGATGGAATGACAGGACTGTCTGCCTCAAAATGTGGAACTTGGAAGGGAATTTAGAGATTATATAGTCTGGTAGAGGAAGTAACTTGCCTAAGACCACACAGAGTTAGAGGCAAAACCAAGTTTAGAACCCATCTCCTAACCCTGGTTTGTGCTGTTTAAATACTGTTCCAGAGTTGCATGATTTATGGATTCTTACTGTCTCTTTTCTCAAATTGTGACCAGTGGCTGTATTTTGTGCCCCTTCTGCTTCCACCAAGCTGATATCCTTGACTATTCATCTGTTATGACCCATAAGGTCAATTTAAAAGAAAATGCCCATTCAGAGAATGAACCTTTGCAGATTGTGAATCAGCACCATATGTTAGACCCATTCCTAGTAAGTCAGTCCCCTGAACAGAAAGTCTGGGGCCTCTAGCCTTACCACTTACTCTATAGTTAGATAAGGCAAACACTATGAAGGCTGAAGAAAAAGACATTTTTTTGGTGAAGAAAAAATTTTTTTTTGTCAAGAAAGATGATTGTCTCTCAATTTTCTGCTCTGGTCAGACCATACCTGGAGTATTATGTTCAGTTCTAAGGCTACGTTTTAGAAAGAACATTAACAAGCACCAGAAGAAGGTGACTAAGATGGCAAAGTGACCTAGAACCATACCACGAAAAAGAAACTAAGCTGTAGGAACTGGGGTTGTCTATGCTATCGGAGACAATGATAGTGGTGAGGGGAGACATCATTATTGTTTTTTTGAAGGCCTGCGTTGAAGAGCAATCACACTTATTCCAGTTCACCTGAGATTGAAGAAGCTAAAAGCTGTATTTTATATCAACAAAAGGACAATACTCTACAGGAGAAGTCAAAGAGTCAGCTTTGACTTGGATGTTAGGAAAAAAACTAATAATTATAGGTAATCCCACACTGAATGGCTACTTTGGTAGTTATTGTGTTCCCCTCATTAGAAGTCTTTAGACAAAGCTGAATGACCACTTGTAGGCAGTGTCATGGAGAGAATTCTTTCAGGTACAGGTTAGATCCCTTCCAAGTTTGAGATTGTGTCATTCTGTGACTTCCTTTTTCCTATCAATGGCACACTCAGTCACTCAGAGTTGAAACCTCAATATCATATTTGGCTTCTAAAAATCCCCACATCCAATCAGTGACCAAATCTTGTCTATCCTTATTTTGTAATGTCTCTCCAATAACTACTTTCTATGCCCATTGTTATTGGTCTAATTCTGGCACTCATTCTTTCTTGGACGATTGCAATAGCATGCTAACTGGTATTCTTGCTTTTGGCCTCAATCATTCAATTGATCTTCCTCTCTTGCCTCATCTTCCTAAAGTACAGCCCTATGTAACTCACATTTTCAGAAACCTCCAATGGCCTGTATTACCTATTAAATACAAAATCTTTCAGGGAATGACCTAAAATAGCCATTAAGGGAAGTAAGAAAATATTGCAGGAGAGACAAACAGCCTGGACGTCCTTCTGAGCTGTAAGTCAATCGCTATTACATTGTGTACCTAAAGCCCCACCATTAGTGCCTATATTTTTTCTGTTTTTTCGTATGGTGTACACACACACATACACACATACACACATACATATACATATATATCCATATAGAGTATGTGTGTTTGGAGGGAGGAGAGCAGGACAGGGTCAGATCTAATGCAATGGTTCTCAAATATCTATCTAAAAACCAATACCTTCTAGTGCTTATAAATGAAGCATTACCCCTATGGTACCCAAACTCACCTTTTAGAAGCATGGACTTTTGATCCTAAAAGTTTGAAAAAGTTGTTCTATATCTTCCCTAGGTGCAAGAGAGAAGGGGATTTGGGGCACCTATGTTTTAGTTAGCTTTTTCCACTCTGAACTTACACATCTAGTTGTCTAAAGATCCAAAAATTTCAAGGGAAATAAGATCCTCCATTTTGAAGGGTAGTCAGGGCTGTGCTTCTTAAAACTTGTTGACTGTGCTTTTCTTTTTTCTGCATCTCTTCCTAGTTGCCAGACTTTTAATAACCAAAGCTGAGGTTTCAGAGGTCAGAATGCTTGATATTTTTCCTGTTGATAGCACAGTTTGAGCTGGGAAAAACTGATCTGGGGGAAAAGAAGAGAACTTAGAATTTAGCCTTTTTTGCTCCCAACTTTTCCCCTCCCCACCTACTATTTCTCTTTCTCTAAACTTCTATCTCTCCCTATCAACTGGTTATTTTCCTGTTGTCTACAAGAGCTCATGTTTCTTACATCCTTAATCATTTGGGAGTGGAAAGAAGAAGACATACCAAGGAAGGAGAGACAGAATGACATCCTGCTTCTTAGCTGTGGTTGTCCTCTCCAAAGCTTTGTTCTGAGTCCTCTTAACTCTTTTTTCTCAATATTTTCTGTGTAATTCTCAAGACTTAGCAATTAATTGGAAATCGGGAGTGAGAAAGAGGGACGAGTTAAAGATGGCTATGAAACTATGAACTTTGGTAACTGGAAGTAGGTGGTGCCCTCAACAGAAAGGAAGTTTTGAGAAGGGATGGGTTGGGAAAACTCTGCCTTGATAAATTCCCCACCTCTCGTGGATTCAGTAACTTCCTTGGAAATAGGAGTTGTTTCATTTTTGACAATGACAAGGTCATTTTTTGTGTATGTATCCTGAGAACCCAGCACAGTATCTGACATAGAGCAGGTAAAATTAAGCATTTTTTAAAATTCTCAAATTATCTCCACAGATAACTATCAAATCCCTCCATATATCCATCCATAATCTTTCTTGATTGCCAGCTA